AAAAAAAAACTCATGATTTGTATAAAGGCACACCTAATTTTGAATGAAATCCCTAAATTTGTTGTTGGATAACAGTTAGATTTTTTTTTATCTTAATCCAATTTTTTTTTTATTTTTACTCAAAATCAGCCCACAAAGAAAGTAAAAACGAATAGAAAGAGATCGTGAAAGAATTGAAACACACCTAAAATTATAATGAAATTGGGTTATATTCAAAGCATTAAAAAAGGAGCACGAAGGAACACAAAGTGAAGAAGAGATGCATTGGGAAGACTGATATAAATGTGTGTAATGCACAAAAAATGGTTGCATGAGAAACACTACTACGAAAAGGATGAGTAGTTTTAGTATAAAAATTTTATAAAACTATCTTTTGTGTCTCATACCGTACCAAATTATTTTGATAAACTACTATGAAAAAGTTGTTTTAACTTCTATTCTTTATATAAAAAGAAAAAACTACGCAAACAAGTAAAAATTCCTATAGATAATTTTTCCCTTCCTGTGCAGCTTTACTGAAAAGAATTCCCTCTCCAGATTTACCTAAAGGTGTTCTTTTTAATCTGTCGTTTCACTTTGTTGCCACTGGGCACTGTCAAACTTCAAGTTTCTTTAAATATTACTTCAATTTATAAATGGAACCCATTTCATCCATTTTTTGGCCTTAGTAAAATATGACTTTTGCACATTTAAACTCACCTGGTGATTCACAAAAGTCTAAACTAGTTAATACAGGTTTCTTAAATTAATGTGAGATTTTGAAGCTATATCTAAAGATAGTAGAGATCAGAGAACAAATGAAACAAAGCAAAGCAAAACTACAGAACCTGTTAATATGAAGATAATTCATGATTTGATTTATCAACTTGGCCGACATGATCGGAGCAACGAAAACAGATTCAGAGATTGTTTTCATAATTTGAATATTCAAAATCTCAAACATCACGACAAGATGAAAAGAACATCACAACAACAAATGGGCCAACTTACTCTTAGATGTTCTCATTCTATTAATAACTCTTCTTACATTAAACCCCACAGACAGAGAATGGACCATATATAATGAGCCAACCTAATATTTTCTACTTATAGAGCAAAAAACTGCCAAACCAAATTGTTCCTCCAGACTTACCCCTGCAATATATGAAGACAAAATTGATGATCTATAACCGAATTCCAGAAAAGGGTATATATGATGGCCAGCCAAAAGAAATTCGGCAACCAGAAAAAAAAGTCATATTTTACTAAGGCCAAAAAATGACTTTAGCGGCATTATAATATAAAATTAAATATGTTTTTAGTATTTAAATTTTGATGTAAAATTATAATTCATCCTTGTTTAAAACTTTGATACATTTTGGTTTTCAAACTTTAAAAATGAATAGATATAATTTTTTTAATCCAATAATATTAATTTTTTTTTTGAGTTTATTAAATAGTATTTCATGTTAATATTTGAATTGTAAGGTGTTAAACCGTGTAAATAACTTAAACATCATCCTAAAACCCGTTTCACATATAAAATTTTTTTAATACAATTTAATTAGAAGGGTTATATTAATTTATTTTTAAAGTTTAAGGATCAAACTTGATACAATTTGGAATAAGAACGCGTTGGAAGTCCCGGTTCAACTAGAGATACATTTCTAGTTTCCACCCGTTGTGGGCCGCTATCAGATTACTCTATTAATTTCTACTCTCACGCACGAGATGTCTATACCTCGGCATGAAGGGGTGTTTTGAAAGTCCCAGATCGACTAGAGATAAGACTAAATTATAATATATATATATAAGTGAGGTGCAAACCTCACCTTACAAGCCGGTTTTGTAGGATTGAGTTAGGCAAAAATCCACTTTCTAATAGAACGAATTTCAGTATGCTAAAAACACATTTAAGCATAATATATAAGTGCCCCTAGAATTTTCTAAGCATCAACTTTCTCATAAGGGTATCAAAAGTAGCACCCTTAAACTTTCAATTTATATCAAACCTATACTTTTCCTTATATTGTGAATTAACATAACATAACAACATACAGACCAATTAGCCTCAGCACAATATAATAATTTCCAGAAAGCTTTTATGACATCTTAAGGTTTAACTTCATACAGCTGACACACCACAATATTCATCACATTATCTAATTGGTCAAGAAATTGCACCACACACAAGGGTAAAGTTAAATTAGGATTAGATACAATGAAAAGGTCACAAGATTATTGATTGGATTGGACACATTTTACACTACTTGCAAATAATAAAGAGAAAATATGCTATGCTCTAATATAATGTTTCTTTGGCTAAAGAAGAACTGCAGATCCCTAACCAGATGCTCAATGGTTATCATATACAACAAACTACTTAAAGCAAAGCCCTGCCACAAAATTGAAAAAAAACTAAGCAAATCAAATCACTAATAGCAACTATGAATGGATCTTAATAGCGAAATTGACTGGTACAGTTGCATTATCACCTAATCAAATAATAACAGAGAACCAACCTATCGTGTTAGCATTCGAATTCATCCCGAAACAAAGCAATCAACAACCTTCAACAAACACCCTTAAACAAGCAGCCTCGCAATTCCCCAAATCAAGGAAACCCAATCACACAACACAAACATGCCCTTTTCTATAACCCAAAAATGCAAACCAGAACCACCCACTACACTCCAGCTCAAAACACACAAGCAAGACTGAAAGAAGAGATTTTGACACATACCCAGTACATCAAAGCAAGCCCAGTTTGAAGGGCAATCGAAAAGTACAAAAAAGTGATGCTGTGTAATCATTACCGTCGCAAGAAAGAGACATGATTGAGTCAACCCACATGAAAAGGGCCAATATCGCCAGAACGTAGAGAAGAGGCAAATTCATCAGCAACAGTTAAACAAGAACTAATCCAGCCACTGAGAGCAATCCATGTCATCTTTGCGATCCAAACTGCAGCGTCGAGTGCCATTGCCATGAGATGCGTGGTTTCAAGGAAGAAGATGAAGTGGTAAACGGAAACCCATTCAGGCTTCTGGTAACCCTTATCGAAAGTTGTTTGTATTATTATAACCTATTTATATTTATGTTATGTGTACTCAACTCAACAACCTCGAAAACTATGTGGTTACTTCCTAATCAAGGAGTTTTCTTTGAGAAATGTTGGCCACAACATATTTTTGCATTCTTCACATGCTCTTATCTCTCATGTTATATAAATTCCATTTATGTAATGGTATTTTTTTTTTCCTTTTATTCTTGCATTTTTTAAATCCATGTTCAATGTGTAAATTTTGAATTTAAACTCTAAAACTAAATATTTTACAGATACAACTGTCATAACTCTTGCAGAAATAATAACATTAATTGTAATTTCTACATTTAAAAATTTTCCAAATCTATCAACATCAGCTTTAGTTACCTTATTTTAAGAATTGAACAATTAACTATTCTCATTCATTTGCATTTTATTTCTCTGTTTTAGGAATATCTCGTATCTATGAGTTTGTTATTGCATGTATCTAACACTGATTTTCATGTTTACAGAAAAGGAGACATTTTTGGAGGATTTTAAGTTTGTCTTTATATGTTTTGTGTCTGTTGTTGTAGCTGAAACCGAATTTAATTTTTACCGAAGGTGAAAGTTGAGTTTAATGTTAGTGATTGATAATAGAAGGATTTCGACTTTGAATCACATCCAAAATTTATACTATAATATTTTCTGAAATAATCTATTAAATTATATTTTTTTAATAACTTTATTATTTTATTGTTTTTCTAAAATAGTATTGGATCAACTATTTAATTAATTAAAAGATTAAAATAATGAAGAAAGTTAAAAAAATTAAAAAGAAAAGGATAAGATTAGTTTTTACTCTTGCACAACGAGTGATAGACCAGATATTAAAAATTTCTTCTTTTATACAAAATATTTTAAATAAATGAAAAATAAAATTATTTATTTATTTATTTTATAATTGTTTTTTCCTTACTATTATTTTATTTATTTATTTAATCACTTTATGACTATATTTGTTCACCGAGAAGTTTATGATCTCTAGAGCTGTAAGACAGCCAAATTCACAGGACCAAAAACATTTCTTACTAAAAAAATCCACAGGGTAAAATATACCTAAAGCTCTTTGGGTGAAGACTAGCCCATGGATTTTCTTTTTTAAATCCATATTTTTTTACATAAAGAATAAACAAGTCATTAATTAAATTTTGAGACATTACGCATAACAGTTTCACATATCAATATAAACTAAACAGTACTGATAGACATTTTTATGCTTGAAAATAATCTCATTCCTCGATTTAAGTAAAAGCTCCAATTGCTCAACATTTAAAGGCTAAGTAGAAATTATTTTGGGAGTTCCTATGCTAAAAAAAAGTTCATACTTTAATGTTTCCACAACATTAAGAACGACAAGTAATATCAAACCATAGAAATTGTTAGGGTCGGGCTCCATTGTTCTTTTAGAATGTCAAGACATTTCATTACAGTTGATGTTTGGGTGGAATACCTTAATCCTAAATGCAACCTGCAGTACATAAAAACTTTAAATTCAGCATTTCTAAACTATAACACTTGACAAATGTTAAAGATATTAATAAACTTGACTAGCAGCTAGCACAGGTGCTTAAGATCATCAGTCCATATATCAAAAAAAAAAAATGCATACAAAAAACAGGAGAATGAAACAGGCAAAGTGTGACATCCAAAATATATAACAATGTATATATGTAGAATGCATCGATTATAATAATAGAAAGCAGTTAAGAGTACACAAAAGATAGGATTAAGGAGTACAGTTATCCAAGTCTGGCTGGGAAGTTTTAAAACTTAAGTACAAGTTCATAATTCTCCAAAATACAAATCATGATAAAATGAAGGCTAGAAGTCTTTCAAAATAAAGAGCTATTTAAAATAAGAGCTAGTAGAAATCCTAAGCACTAGGGGCTGGGTCTTCCTCAACTTCCAAAGCTTGCTCCAAAGGTACATCATCACCTACTGCTCACATCCAAAGGATTGGATGATCATCGCAAGGGGGAAAGCAAACACATGCAACACATACAAATGCAAGGGTGAGCTAGGTCTCAAAAATCATCCAATTCATTTTCAATCAATCTTGCATTTCCCAGAATATCCATACACACATAAACACCTTAGTCTTCATAAACATAAGCATTTATTTCATAAAACTCATCAAGACAAGTATCCTATCATGTTAAGACTCTAGACACGTCCGGACATAGAATGTATGTAGAGCTAGGGCGGGTTGTGCACTTGTGATGGCCTCTACTGCTTTGCAAAGCCATTGCCGAGGGGTTCCACCCGACCATACACAAGGCTAGTCCGTTACCGCGGAATAGACCTCCAGTGATAGCGTCTACCCTAGGACCTCCCACTACTCCCACCACACGCGTCAATCCTCTCTAAGTGAGAATGAAAGACCGTTGGAGTGTTAGGGATAACCCCCCATATGGAAGCCTCTTACATTCATTCAATACACTAACTGATCCCACCGAGAGATCTAAATTTCCGATTCAATCCGACCATTTTAAATCTCATGATATTCCTTTTGGATCAACAATGCACATCATAAACCACTTATAACCATACACTTTCAACCAATTTGGATCACATGAAAATGCATTCATAAATTGTAACTGAAACATTTAAATAACATAACTTATTGGAATGAGAGGAAACATAACAGAAAACATCACCACTGGACGAACACTATTTGGACGAACACTAAATGCCTAAGCCAAAGCATGATCATGACCGAACGCTACTACCAAGAACGAACGTTAACCAAACCAACATTCGACCGAACGCCACTCAACACATGGCATGACCGATCGTCCAAATCCGACATGGACGAATGATCAGTTTTCGCATCCTGCAGAATGGTAGCAGAACCTCCCTTGACCATTTCTACCCACTTTTTTTCAACTTCTTAGACTCTTAATTCTCGTTTTAGACTTAATTAAACTTATCCAAATGATTCTAAGCATTTCTACTACCATTTTTAAGTGATTAAAGTTCACTTTCAGCTCAAAAACACTAACTTCAACAGCTTAGGGACCCAAATTTGATTCTACTACTTGGAACATGTTTTCGACCACTTTTATGTTTCTAACAAGTCACAATGGACTTGTCTAGGCTGCCCAAACAGTCCAGGAACACTGCAACCCTCCTTTACTCAAAATCCCTACCTCACTTCCTCTAAAATAGCCCAAATTGACCATAAGGACACTTGATTTCCTTTCTAACAACACTACCACCGAATTTTCATGTCAACACAGATCCAGCATACACAATTCCATCACTCCAAATCATTCCAAACAGTTTATAGCCATCCATCACCAAATTCACATAACACACACTTCCATACAGTAAAGCAAGAGTAGAACTAGCTCCCCTTACCTTAAAGTTGAGCAGTCTAGCACACAACACAACTTTCAACAGTATCCTACCCCGGGAAGAACTTAAGCAGTGCCCTACAACCATCACATTGGTGATGAGAACAACCTTTAGAGCTCAAATTTGACAGGAATTGAAAAGAGGACAGTTCTAATTGCACAAAAACAGTAGAACCATAAGCCCTAAATTTCGAAAGTAGCGGAGAAAAGAGGAAGCCACTTACCGGTTGAAGAACGTAAAATCAATCGGATGGTTTTGAAGCTCTCTACGAGACGGTCGCTAGGGTACCACCTAACAGAACATGCAATGGCTAAATCAGTGTGGAGGCTAGAGAGAAGGCAGAAAAGAATTTGGGAAAAGGGGTTTTAGAGAGAGAAAGGAGGATTGGCAAATGAACTTCAGCCTTTTCTTTTTAGGAGAGCCCCCTTACCAAGGTCATAAGCCCAAATTGCTAAAGGTCTGGCTGCCACAATTAAGGCCCAATAACCCTGGGTTCAAATTTTTAGGTCCTTACACAAAGAACAGGAAAATTCTTAACACATGAGAAAACTCAAGATAATAACATCCAACAATTTAATTTTGTTACTAGGAATGCTTTCCAACTCCACTCTTCACTGAATGTGCGAGAAAAGGGAAGGTGATACAATTTGTATAAGAGGTGCTGCAAAAAAGCAAGACTTTCAACTAAAGCAAGTGATACTTCTACTTTCAATTTGTATTAGAGGTGCTACAACAAGTGATACTTCTGCTTGCTTTTATGATAAGTTCAATTAAAGCGATCTGGACTAGGTAAAAACTGCACCAAAAACTGATATATCAAGACAAATTTATTTACAATTAAATGCTCCATGCTGAAATGCACAATGCATTTAAAATCAAAGCTGAAATGTCTACTTTCTACTTCAAAACTAAGTTCAAATAAACTTTATTCTTTAAAAGGACTAGCATTCTACAAAAATTATAAACAATAAATAAAAAATTTAATAATTAGAAAGTAAATTAAAGTTACGGTGTCATTGAGTCTATGTGTGATAACTTTCATTGCCCACAATGTTGAAGACTTTCAACATCTTCTAAAAGTTTAGACTCATCAATTCCCTCATGACCAAAAATATCTTCAACAATTTCATCTATCACAAGCAATTGAAATACAATCAAACAACTAGTTTAGAATTAATAATTTAATGTAAAGTAATTTTAAAAATAATAACATATACACTTACAGTTAGGATTTTTAGAAAATCCATATAGCCAATTTTGAGTACAAATCAACATTTGCACATGCTCAGGAAGAATGGAGCTTCTATATTTCGAAAGCTGACTCTGGTGCCACTGTAGTAATGAGAATACTAAACACATCTCGAGCCATTATAGATAATATAGCAATTTTTTTCTCATTAGTCTTCCAATATTTGAGCACATCAAAATCTTCATTGTCTTCATCATCATCTATTCTTGGTTCATCTAAATAAACATTTTAAAATCCTACAATGATAGATTTTGATTCATTCTTATACATTTTAAAATCCTACAATGCATTACATATTAATTATCAAAACAAAACTAGAAAAACTGAAAAGGAAAAATGAACATTAGGTATAAAATGCTTACCGAAATAATCCTTGATCTCTTAAATTTTTTTCCTTCAGTATTGGACTGAGACATCAAGGTGGATTCAGTAGATGATTGGGAAAGAGAAACACTAGAGGTAGAAAAGTTCTTTACATATTCTTTAAATAACCTCTTGAAGTTCTCTAACACTTTCTTTGTTTTCTCTACATAGGTTAAAAGATCCAATTTTTTATAATAATATGTTATAAAATCAACCTTTAGTCGTGGATCAAGAATAGCTCAAAAAACTAACCCAATATTATACTCCTTTCAATACTTTTGAAACTTTTCTTTCATATTACAAGCCAAATCCTTTAAGATGACATCTTCATTCAGCAAATTCTCTTCAATGATAAGCTAAATTTTTCAAATTTGCATAAAATACAAGTTTGAAGTGGGATAAGATGAACCAAACATCATGTTTGTAATCTCATAAAATGGTTCTAAGAATTGACATATTTTCTCTCCCCTATTCCATTCCTCAAGATGGACAATTTTTATAATTTCTATCAACCACTTTAAGAATTTCAAAAGCTCCCTTATATTTGATTGCACTTTCAAGCATTAAATAGGTTGAATTCCATCTTGTAGTCACATCTAATATCAAACCCATGCTCATATTTATGCCAATATCACTAACACATTCTTTAAATTTGAGAGTTCTTCCATCTGATGATTTAACATACTTAATACTCTCTCTAATATTATGGAGTGATTTGTCAATCACCTTTAAACCATCTTGAACTATCAAATTAAGAGTATGAGTACAACATCGTACATGGAAAAACTCACCATCACATAGTAAATTTTTATGAACACAAAGATGTCTTTTTAGAATGTCTTGCAAATTATTATTGGCATAAGCAATGTCCAGGGTAATTGAGAAAATTTTCTTATCAATACCCTATTGCTTTAGGCAATCAAACATAACACTTTCTAGTTCAACACCTGTATGTGGTGGTTTCATTCAACAAAAGTTAAGAATCTTACTTGTCAATTTTCAGTTTTCATCAACAAAGTGTGCAGTTAGGCAAATATATCCCTTAAAAGTAACTGCAGTCCAAACATCAGAGGTTAAACAAATTCTATTAGGAATCCTAGACATGGTTTGCTTAACTTTATCCTTTTGTTCAATGCATTCCTTTTCCACATCTGATACATTAGTGTTCCTACATTTCATGTCAACATTAGGATTAATGTATTTTATCCACTCCATGATTCCTTCATATTCAACAAAATTATAAGGGAGACTATGTTTAATTATGGCTTTCGCAAGTAACTTACGATGAATCTTTTGATTGATTTTTCGTGTCCTTCCTTCTTGCTAAAGATTCAGATCCACATCTAAGTTTGCAATACTTCTACACACATTGACATGCCGACTTAAATGTGAAGTTCCATAATTATTTTTATTAATAGGATGTTTTCCAACTTTGTAGTTATTGCCGCAATACTTACATGCAGCCTTTTCAATGTCATCCTCATCTTTTCCTATTTTTGTGAAAAAATTCCAAACATTTAAAACTTCTTTCTTATTTGTGGTAGCACTTTCAGATGGACCAGGAGTTTCAGATGCGAGATCATCAACCAAAGTTAAAGGGTTACTCTTAAAGTGATCCATATTTAAGGCAAATTTAAGGCAAAAAAAGGGAAAGACAAAAGATGCTCAACAATAAATCCAAATCCTATTATTAAATATGAACCAAATAAGTTTAAAGGTCACAAAATCATTGTTAAAATCATAAAAGAAGTTTAGAGTTATCAAGGTAAGCCAAAATACAGTTTCAACTGAATATAAAACTTTATACAATTATGAATGTGATAAAACATCCAATATAATGATAGACTCTATAAGAAAGTCATCCAACAGATTATATAATGTAAGATGGATTTGATTCACACTTCTGTCCACAACGGAATAACTTCCAAGTGTAACTATATTTCGAGAGTAAGTTGTGCATTCTTTGTATTGAATACAAACCGCCAAACACCTAGTTAAACTACCAATCTAAGTCGAGTACTAGTGTATGGCTTGGGACAATTTAATACAAGTCGCACTTAGAAGGGGAGCAAACTAACATCACGGGCAAAGCAACAAGACAAGACTCCTAAAACACCCAGTCCTAATACTCTTACGTTTCCTACAAAAAAAAAAATTATATCCACAACAAATTAGTTTAATCTACATGGTTGCAAATTATTTTGGCACTGCTAATCAATATCCTACTGGTTAAGAAGTTTTAAACAGGATTTTTTAGTTGAAGTTCATATTAAAAACTGCATTGAAAATCATTGCAGAGATATATTAGTGATGTTTTTTCAATGAAATGTTTTTGTTTTGGATTTCTTAACTAGTAAAAGAAAAGAATTGGCACTAGGAAATAATGTGCTGAGAACAACAAAATGGCTTGACCCGTTTGTATGATTAACATTGTGCTATTTCCAATGCTTATAGGCATGTGATTGCAGACTTATTTAAGACAGTACTAAATTACATTTTCCTGGTAGGAACTGTGAACTAATAAAAATGTGCCCACTAACTTTAGCTTTGTGGGGGTTATTTAATCCAACCCAACTTGCTAATCTCCTTTAAACTTTTCATTACCCTTTTGACTACACCCTTTTAATATTGGCTTTTGGAGATGAGAGATAGTAAAGGTGATTAACAAAAGGCATTTTTTTTGTTATCTTTTTTTAATTTTATGCCATTAGTCATTTCCTCCACTAGCCTTAAAACTCTACAGTGTAGATTCATAAGTTAAGTTCATCTCAGCATAAAGATGACTACCACCAAAAATTGTTATGATCTGTGTAATACACAGTTGTAAGTTTCCCTGAAAAAGGTCCAAATACAAGCATAATAATGCAGTTTCAAAATAAACTCAAATCTTCTGGAATGTTGTTCAAGGATGTGAAAACTGAACAATGTAAGTTAAGTGAAGTTGTAATTAATTCTCCATCCAAAACCCTCAGATTTCAAAATTCTAGTTCAGTAATAAAAGAATTAATCTACAGTTTTATCTAAGAGGTTTAGCTTACCTGACTGAGTCACATAATCATAAAGGCACTAAGCTAAGACCATGTTCTGTTTTACACACACACCCTCTTCCAATGCACACATTTCCCTGCATTTCAAAATCCTCTTCTTCCCATTTCCATTTTTCTTGAGGACTTTTCAACCTCTATCTTGGATTAGGATTTCTAAATCATCTTTTTAGTTAATCAAAGTAAGCTACACACAATCATAAAAGAACATGAAAATTAACAAACAAATGTCAAGCGTGCAACATTATGGTATTAAATAACATTGTTTTTCACTCTACCCATCAACTAGCATAGATAGAGCACTTCTACAGTTTGTATATACAAAATCATGTCTAAAAATTTGCACAAATGTATGTACAAAATCAGAAAGTGGTATATAAAATTTCAGAAGAAAAATAAATCAGGGGTCAATGCACAAGCAAAGATAAAATCAAAGATGGTAGGAAAGGACCAATCTGTTACAACAATGAAGAATACGAAGAACGTTGAAGAGCGGAAGGGAGTCCGCAATATCCGTGAATAGCGAATCAATTTTTTAGCTGTTAATGCCCTAGAAAATGATGAAGAAGGTGAGGCCTCGTGGGATGAAGAGAAAGAAAGAAACTTGTGGATGAGTCGTGGAAGAGAATAATCATCGAACGTTGAACAACAAGAAGAAGAATTTCAGATTGAGGGTCAGCCCCACCCTAACCCAACCCCCACCCACTCCCTGAGGGCTTTGGGGGCTGGGGCTTCAAAAAAACCCTTTATTGAGTGGGCCATAAATAAGGGGCCTCATTCTAAATGAGGCTAGGGTCAACCCTTGGGGACGGGGTTCAACTGACAGTTCTAATGATCTCATTAAAGTTTATTTTGAAATCATCATTTTTTTTCTAACATAATCCATTCATATTATTTAACTAATATATCCATATATATTTTTTCTACTTTTAATATTTTAGTCTTGTTGGATTGACAAATAAGCAAAATAAAATAATCTAAAAATTGTTCAAAGATTTGGTGATATTACAAATAAAGGTAAGATACCGGAGTTTCAAATATTATTACATACTAAGTAATATTATTACAAATAAAGGTAAGGTACCCTTTCCAAATCAAATTGTCTCCAAGATTTATCTCTATACTCAATAGATGAATCACCACTCTCATAATAAAAAAAAAAGAAAAAAAATCAATAATCACTAAAAACAACCGCGACTAATTTGTTTCTGGAGTTCACATATACTCATCATCTTGCCATGCTTGCTATTGCAAAAAGAATCATCTTTTTCAATACAATTTCAACTACCACACCTAGTAATGACAAAAATACTCATGCACGCAGGTATTCACAAGTAATATCTATTGCGAGTAGTTGATACCCGTAAGTAATAAGTACTCGCGGGTAGCGGGTAATTTAATACACGCTCATTAACGGGTTGGGTTCAAGTATCATAGTATTTGTACTCGTGAGAACCCACTATCTGTTAAGAAAATGAAATTACATTTTTATCTTTAAGTTTAAGTTAGGTATTATTATTATTTTTTTGCCTTTTTTCACCGTTGTGCTATAGTATGTGCCAGTATTGTGCTATCAGGGATTTACGAACTAGAGGACGCGTATTATGCCACCCCACCATCGGTGTTGGATTAACGAACCAGAGGAAACTATATGTGTCACCATCA